TCCAAAACTTAACCGAAAAAGTAGGTGTTTGTATTTTTCTCATAGTTTCTGAATGAAAGAATGTGTAGACTGTAGGAACATCTCAGAATCTTTAGCACACTTTTCTCTTTAATTTGTGATATTCTAGATCTCTAGGCGTCTCGTTACTCAAACATTATAAGAAAAACAAAATGCAAAAAAATCGTTACGGAATTTCACTCCGGTAGCAGAGGTGGCTGGCCAGAGCGTTCTAGTTTTTCCTCTGCAGTGGAAAACATTTAAAGAGATTCAAAGTGTGGTATAACTAGCCTACATCCAAGGCTGGACGATTCATATAATCGAAACATTGCTGAACAAGAACTGGATTTTTAGGAAAAATGTTTTGAAATGTAAAGGTTCAGTTCTTGTTCAGCAATGTTTCGATTATATGAATCGTCCAGCCTTGGATGTAGGCTAGTTATACTACACTTTGAATCTCTTTAAATGTTTTCCACTGTAGAGGAAAAACTGGAAAAGAAAATGGCTTAAACTTCTGTCGTGCACTTCAACTAGGCTTGAACTTGCCCGCCTCTACTTTGACTAAACTAAGGAAAAACATTAATTACTTGACAAATGCAATTTAACTCGTCATAATGACCAGTTTTTTTTAATCTACTTAATCCTTTCACTGTCACTCGGATATTCAAATACCATGGCCTATACTGGCAGGCAATCTTAAGCAAAAGCGTCAAAAGGTGTCCGCGCCAGAAAAAGTATTAATAAGCAAAGAACTGAGATTGCTTGTTATCTAATTTGATGCGAAAACAATATCGTAGTGTACTATGCAGCCAAATCAATGAGAATTCAGCCTGGAATGTGTTATCATTAACGCATGTGAACGTTTTAATAATTTAATATTTCTATTTTATTTCTACTAGTTTCACAATAGAGTGTTGGCTTATTATCAGAGAAAAATCTCCTCTTCTTATTGTTGTTTAGTTACTGACTAAAATCTTCACCTTTACCCTCACCATAGTTATATCAAGCACACTGATTAATCAACGGATAAATTGGAAAGGACGTCCGAAAATATTTTCAATCAATAAAATAAATTGTCTGAAATGAATGACTACTCACCATTTTCAATGTTTTTATCTATATTCTTCTTTTCACATAATGCAAAATCAATGATAAAATGTTTTAAGTAATTGTTACTCTCTAATTTTGGTTTTACTCGTGTAATATAATACTGTAAAATAAATTTTTCGATTTTCTCCTTATTTTCATTCAGTCTTTTTGAATATAGAAGATAATTATATTGTGATAGAGCGGTCAATTTATAATCATAAACAAAACCACGATACTCCATGTCGACATCAATTTGAATAAATGGTCTCAATACAAAATTTTCACGAAATTCAAGATTAACATCGACACTTTTTCGTCGATCATAGGCTTCTGTAGCTAATAACATATCTTGATAAATTCGTTCACTACACACAAATTGATTCAATATATCATCAACATTATTCACTTTTAATCCATTGAAAGCTGCGGTTAATAGACAAATAATTTGATTATTTTCAATTTTTTGTTCTTCTACACTGTATTTCGATAATTCTTGTTTGTATGAATCCATAAATTTCTTCTGATAAACTGGTGCATCTTTAGCACTTCTTGAAGATGTTTTAACAAATAATCCATTAGTGAACGATTGTTTAAATTCATTAACTGAATTGTCTAAACGCAAACATATTCCATTTAACCAATCCAATTTGTTACTACTCTTGTCTGTAAAATTCTGACGCCAATTCAATAAACGTTCCCATATGTGTTCAGGTTGTAAATTTTTAAAATAGACATCATATATTTCAAGAAAATATGTGGCATCTTCATACGAAATTGGACAATATGAAGTTGGAAATGTTTCTAAAACAGATAGGCCAAAATCGAATATTTCTCGCCTAGTAAAATTCCTTGTAACCAAGATTTTGAGTTAAGGAATGTCACAACATTGTGGGGAAAATACTAAAAAGTCAATATCTTGTGTGAGAGGCATCCAAAATGACGAATTATTATCTTGACTAAAAATAAACGACCTTATGTCTTTTACCATTTTGCAAAATAGTTTGCCATTCCTCAATATTTGCTTTCAGTGCATTATTTTGATATGTTTCAATTTCACTCGTTGTTGTAAATCCTTAAAACAGTCAGATGTAATAGTTAATAATGAACAATTGATAAGATAAGATGTAACCGACCCGCTAGTTTGGGATCGCTAAAATCTTTTGTCTTGTCTTTTGATGGTTTTAATTTAATATTTTGAAGTTGTTCAGCTAATGATTGCTGTGCCATCTAAAACATTAAAAATAGCAACACAATAAATGTTTGTCACGTGTAAGGCTTTTTCGTCATTTAATGACAATGAGTAGAAATGCATCCTCACTCTCAGAGATTATTTAAGATCGCTAATAAAATCGTCTTGTTATATTCTGGGAAATAATTTCGCCTGAGTTGTACTTTCAAGAAAACTCCTTAGTTTCTCATATTCATACATAAAATACTGGGCACAGCGCATATTCCAATCACATTAGTTCTTATTGTCAATTGACGACTGGTGGGCGACGAAAGAAGCAGCAGTTTAGTGTATAAAAAGACAGATAAAAGGACTGCGTCATTGCGTGTGTCTCCTAACAACCTAATCTAGCTTAAGCTAGATCAATGTACTCTTTCAGGGTACCCCTCCCTTTATTTTGGGCTTTCCGTAGAAATAAAAATTAAAAGTCACTAAGATTTCATATTTTCAGAACTGATTAGAAACTCAATGGAGCACTTTTTCGTTTTTGTTTCAAGTTTTTAACTATTGCCAGTTTTTCATTAGACCACATTACGACCCCCCTTAAATGTCAACCGATTGAGTTAAAAACTTTACCAGAAGTACTGAAGGTCATAGCGCAGTGGCATAATTTTGGAATTTTATTTTAGACCTCTCTTTACCGAGTTATAGGAAAAACACCAAAAAACTTTCAAATGCCAAGTTTTTAAATTCTAGAAAAAGTGTTCCATTGAGTTTATAATCAGTTCTGAAAATATGAAACCTTCCTGACTTTTAATTTTTATTTCACAGCATTTCTACGGAAAGTCCAAAGTGAGGGGAGGGGACCCTTAAAGTAGATTAAGCTAGCTCCAGAAAAATTTGTTTTGCTTGATATATGGAAGAGGGACTTTTGAGGCTATTGGTGATAGAGGTAACTTTTTTTGATAAGGTTTTTCCTTTAGGCAAGTTTTAGGCTGGAAAATAAAACTTAGATTAAAGGTGTTTGAAGAGTTCGCGCTCAAATTATTGTCGGCTGTATCCGTAAATACATCCATGATCTTTGTTGATTTATAGCCTAGTAATTTTCAGTTTGGTCCTGCTCAATACATACAGGAGCGTCTAAATATTCCGTCTCATTCACAGGATGCTAGATTGGCTCTAGGGACGGATGGTTTCAAGCGGAATGTAAGTTGAAGGGCGAATACTTCCATCACATATGTGTGCCAACTACCCCATGCGTAAAACGGACAACGACGAACTTAATGGGGATGATATCATGGACGAATAACATTCCTATTGGGACTTTGCAACAAAGTTACATGGATTTTTGGCAATATAATGTAAATATGTTCAACAATGATTCATTCGTTCCAGTGCATATATTAATTGGTTCCAAGAAATGACGAATCAGAATGGAATCTAGTTTTCTGATTAAGAAATAATAAATCAGAGCATCACCATTCATTGTTAAAAATGTGAAGAGCTCCGGAGCATACTCTTTTGTACGATTAAGTTCTGTAGTAAAATATGGTACAACTTAGTGCAGTTTCTTTCTCTTCTGTTTTGAGCTTCTCAAGTCTAATAAAACAAGATGGCTGATGGGCCATGTATCTATATAACCTTGAACGCGTACCACAAAAGTTAATTGTAAATTAACATACTAAGTATATATAGTTACACTGATCCAATACATCAGTTCACAGGTAACTTTTTTAGCGGAGACATGGTATATCAATTTTGTTTCTATTGATGGTTAAGACAACGCTTGTTCTAGTAAAAAAATTACATGTTTATAAGAATAAGGATCTTTTTTGCTTAAGCGTAGGTAAATATTTTATAGAGAAGACAATCAAAAAATTGTCGTCTATCCATTCCTCTCTACCTTTAAACAGATTTGTTTACCAAATCTGTTTCTACAGATGCAGGCAAAGCCGAATTCTATTTTTCTCCTTGTTATTCGTCTTTTCAGGATAAAATTCCTCCGTCTGCCATTGTAGACTTGTTAATCATGGGTAAGCAGCTTGACTTCCATCTATGTCTTTCTCCAGGTAATTTTCCTGCTCTATGAAAAATTGCATATGTCGTTCCAGTTCACGAAACAGATGCTCTTGCCGATATTTCTACTTATCATCCTGTTTTCCTTCTTCCTGTTGTTTCTAAAGTGTTAGAATGTTTAATTTAACTTTCTTTTTTCTCGTCTCTCTAAATAATTTGGTTTTTGTCCTAAACACTCTACTGTAGATGCCTTGTTGTTTTTATCCTTGACTGTCTCTAATTTTTGAAATGGCGGTGTGAAGTGTGTTGGTATCCCTCCCGCAATAATCGAAATCTCTTCTTTTTTCACAAAATCCACAATTTACTAGGCTATTACTTTTTCGTTCCTGTACACTGATCACAACAAAAAATGTATCGAGCTCCTCCTCCCAATTGTAGAGGCCTCGCACCAGCCCTGGAGAATGGTTGTTTACTTTCTTTTTTATCTTCTTACCTCTCCAATCGTCTACAACGTGTGCGTGTGCATAATTCTAGCTCTTTCCTGTTCCTTCTGGTGTTATCGATCATCCAAGGTAGTGTGCTTTGGCCGTTGAATGACGACTAGAAAAGTGATTTGTTAAAAGGTGTCACCAATAACTGAAAAAGGAAGGTGATTGGTCCAAAGCAAATGATCATCAGGAAAGACCTCGTGTCGTTGACGTGATATGTATATATAATCTGTTTTTTGTCTTGTTACGGATAAATTTTGCCTGATGATGAAGCGAGAAGTTTCGAAAAGCTCGCACAAAATGTTTAAAATTGTATATTTAATTATTTCAATATTATAGCTTTTTAAAAAAACACTATTATATAAAGTAATTTGTTCTATTTTTCCTAAGCTAGATTATTGTTGTGCCTGTACTATAATTCTTTTTCTCACTCTCTGTTCTAGACTCCGTAAACAAAGTTTCTTCTTGTGATAATTCTCGCAATTCTGACTATCGTTTTTCTAGCTCTTTACTTTCGTCTCAACTATCTCTTCCAAATCTTTCTCTTTGTCATATGTATTTTCGTCTTGTACACTTGTATCATCATCTTAGCCCTCTTTCTATTTTTTTCGTTGTTCATCGTCCTCATCACTCTTCTTTAGGCTGTCATCATTCTAAATATGTTCGCATTCCACTCCCAATTGGACCATTGATTTCTGCTTCTTTAACGTCTTTCAAAAAAAACAACTCTATTCCAGTAAAATTCAGCCTTATTGTTAGTCAAAAAGTCCGTGCTAGTTGCTTTTTCTCTGCTTTTTTTCTTTTATAATTAGAGTACTACCATTTAGCGTATCTTTATCTTTTTGTTGATGTCGCATGCAGATTATGCTTTCCTTTCTGTATGTGTCCTTATGTCTGACATACAGATATTTGCATGCGACATCAAGAAAAAGATAAAAATACTCTAAAAGAGAAAACTCTACTGTTTTATTTATTTCTAGTTCATGTTTCTCTTGTCTGTTTTTTTATTTCGTTTCTTTCCTATCGTCACTCATTTTATTGCTTGGCTTGAGTCATTATAGGTTATTATAGGTTGTGAGTCTTCGATAACTCTCACTTTTCGTGAATAAAAATAACTAAGTTTCAACCGGTAGGTTTCCAGCGAATCATTGAACGTACTACACAGTTCGATGTTTTGTCGTAGCTGTGCCTCTAGCTGTTAAAAATAATTGGCTTGAAAAATTTGTCTACGATTTGTTGAAATTTAACATTTTATACTTTTTCACTTCGTTGCTTTTCAGATACAATTTATTTTAAAGCCTTCTCCATTCTAATTCATTGAATCATGTCAAACGACGGTCCAAAAGTTGGTATCAATGGTTTCGGAAGAATTGGTCGACTTGTATTTCGGTGAGTCTTCAAGAAAGAGTAAATATCGCTCAGAAACAAGAAAAATAAGCTCCTTCTTAACTGAATAAATAGCAGAAAAGAAAAAAGAAGTGAAAAGCTATCGGAAGATCTGCAAGTGTCATTCTTTAATAGGAATGCTTTATATATTTGTTGGTTTTTTTTAGCTGTTGTTTAGAAAAAGGCGTTAATGTTGTTGCCGTAAATGATCCATTTATTCCAGCTGAATATATGGTTTATATGTTCAAATATGATTCAACCCACGGACGATTCAAAGGAGAAGTTTCACATGAAGGAGATAAATTGATTGTTAATGGACAACACGTCAGTGTATTCACAGAGTAAGTGCTTTTGTACTCAGACAGTCAAAAAGTAAAAACATGTTTTTTTTCAAAAAAAAAGACATATCAATAGTATGAAGTACTTTTTGTTTTCCTTCAAGTCAGTAATTACCCATGCTAATTTTGTTGTTCTTGTTTAGAAAAGAACCATCAAAAATTCCATGGGGCAAGTTAGGAGCTGACTATGTCATTGAATCAACTGGAGTATTTACAACCACTGAAAAATGTCAACCACATTTACAAGCTGGTGCCAAAAAAGTCATTATTACTGCACCATCTGCTGATGCACCAATGTTTGTTATGGGAGTCAATGAAGAGAAATATACAGGAAAAGAAACGGTTGTTAGTAATGCGTCATGTACAACAAATTGTCTGGCACCATTAGCCAAAGTCATTCATGAAAAATATGGAATTGTAGAAGCATTAATGACCACAGTTCATTCATATACAGCAACACAAAAAACTGTTGATGGTCCATCAAATAAGGTAAAGATAAAAGATACATAATGCTTGAGTTTGAAGTAATAATGGATATTTTTTTCTGTTGTAAAGGACTGGCGTGGTGGTCGTGGTGCTGCACAAAACATTATTCCATCGTCAACGGGTGCAGCTAAAGCTGTTGGAAAAGTAAGTCGAATCATTTTAGCATAAATAAATATGAAAGTTTTATATGTGACTTTCATAATTTTTAGGTTATTCCAGACTTAAATGGAAAATTAACTGGTATGGCATTTCGAGTACCAACACCAAATGTATCCGTTGTCGATTTAACATGTCGATTACAAAAAGGGGTATGTATCGAAGAATAGATAAACAACATCGTGGAATAATCACTAGTGCTGACAGAAAACGAAATATCTTTTATTCTAATTGTTGCCTAGCCAAGGTCACTCACTCTTAGAGTCATATTGGTAAAGTATTAGGTCAACAGAAGCTAGAAGCACAATCAAAAGAAAACATTATATTATCTCAATATTTTAAAATCATAAAGAAGGAAAAATAGTGATTTTCCTCCGCTAATCAGAGTTTATCCTGTATGAATTACGAGTGATTTGTGAACTTTTTTGTTACATTGTTTTTATAATATATTTGTTACTTACAATGGACTTTTTATTATTTAGGCTAAATATGAAGAGATATGTGCTACAATCAAAGCAGCAGCCAATGGTCCTCTTAAAAATATTTTAGGTTATACTGATGAAGAAGTTGTATCATCAGATTTTATTGGAGATACACATAGCTCAATATTTGATGCTAAAGCTGGTATATCATTGAATGATAATTTCGTCAAATTAGTCTCATGGTATGTATCTAGCATGTCCAAACTACTTTCTTTAACAGATCTGACAGATGAGGAAAATGAAGGTATTTTAGTCGGACTAGTAAACTTCTTTTTTCTTCTATTGAGTTTTCTCTTCACTCACAAACTTTCTTACATATAATGTTTGTATATTTAGGTACGATAATGAATATGGTTATTCACATCGTGTTGTGGATTTAATAAAATATATGGCGAAAAAAGATCATTCTGGTTAAATAAGAAGAAAATAAAATAAAATTAAGTACAAGCCAACAGACTACTATTATTTTAGTTGAATTTTCCTATTTAGAATAATCAACCCCGGTATCATTTCACTTTTTATTGTCTTTCACACCTAAAAAATTTTTTCTGTTGAACAAACACACCGTTACCAGTCACATAGCATGTGAGGAAGAGTTCTGTTTTTTTTCTTCAATGATTTATTTATGTTTGCCGCTAACCTGTTTTTCTGTTCTTTTACATTACGTTCTCTTCTCTTTTTTTGTCAAAAACATAATCCTATCTCATTTATTTCGTTCTATAATAAGTACTTTTTTTATTTATTTTATTATTATTATGGATTCGTTTTTAGTATTTTATATTGATTCAGCTTAGAGCTTGTCGTTTTATTCGTAGTGTATTAAGAAAAAACGAACCCTGAAATATATTATAGAAAGATCTAGAATTTGACTTTAAACACATGAACAGATACAATTGACGTCAATACTAAATTTAGATTTAAAGTAGTTCTAGAACTAAGAGCTATTTTTTTTATCACAAAAAAGTAACAATGTAGTTTCTACTTGCTATGGTAGTGTCTGTTTTTTTTTACACTAATTTCTATTAGTATCTGAATAATTTGTTCTCATACTTTCAACATTTGAAATCATCATATTCTTAGATCAAATATTACAAAACTTATTTTGGAGTATCAAGTTGAAGTTTTTATTTGTATCGATAGAACATAGAACATCCAATGTTTTGTGTGAACTGAACTTGTATTTACAACTGTTAATTGAACAAAAAAAAAACAAATTTTTGGATATTTTCCAAAAAAAAATGTACGATAATTATTTTTGTTTATAGAAGCCCGTTGATATATGGTATCTTTTCTTATCATTTGTTCCAGTCAATGTGTCATTTCTTCTTCAAGATAATGAAATCATCATTTCAATCATCGACTTGTGTATAATTGAACAATGAATAAAACAAGCATAAAAAAAAATGCCCTCAATGTATATGAAGATAATTATTCGATTTTCTCATATCACTGCTGGGCATTATGAGTGTATAAGAGAAATAATTTACTTTTGAAAATTTAGAGAAAATCTTAGTCATAGTCTCTATACATGTTTATCTTTTTCTTTTTGCACTTGTTGAAAATATTCAATATCTAACTATGCTATGAACGCTGAAGTTTCACAATGTTAAGATCGTACAATCACATGTAAACTGTGAAGTACATTGGTTCGTAAATGAACGTGACATAGACATGTTAGACCTTATTACAGTTTAGAAAGTATGAAGGCTTGGTTAAATATCTGTTTAACTGATGCCTCTATCATTTTCCTCCCATCCCATTTCATTATATAAATTAGTCCCATATGTATACATACATATACAAACACATATACATCGTTCAATAACTAAGAGTGATTTATCACGGACCAAACTAGTAGTTTCTATTCTTAACTCATTAAAAAAAGTTTTCTTTGTTTTTTTTTCGATGAAAAAAAAGAGAAAATATTCTCATTCTTTCTTTTTAAAACATATTATTAAATCGTCATATTCACTCACTTCACGAAATATAGGTGATGATGTTGAAGAGAAGAGATATGTAATGTATTTTAAATTTTTCATGTATTCATATTTCATGCTTGCTCAAGTTCTGTCCTTTGAAACTATTCAATTATAATAGAGACAAAAAAAAGTCACTTTCTACGATCGTTGACATTATGAAATTTTCTTTCTTCTTGTAGACAAAGAGAGAGAGGGAGAGAGAGGTTCTCCCTTCGAGATAAAACTGACATCGTTATATTCAAACAATCTTTTTTTTCTCTTCATCTCTCTATGTATTTAAAATGTCCAGCATAACCCAATACATACCTTCTCTTCTACAAACAACAGATGAAATAATTGGCTTGTTATTGTTGCTTTATTCCTCTACTCAGTTTTTTTGCATCATTTTCTTTTCTCATTCTCATCTCTCACTACGATCATGTAAAAGAGCAATATATTCTTATTAAAATAGATACCATTCAAGTGACAAACATATTAATGAATAAAATATGTTCAATTCCGGGTAAGTGTGTCATGTACAAAAAATATACAACTAGTAAAAAGAAAAGTTACATTATTCTTCTATAACAGGAAATACTAAAAAATTTTAGCTCATACTTAAACATACACTTGTTCTCCAAGAAAAAAAAGTGAAAAGAATTTCTATATATTTTGTTTTATGTTGATAGTAGGAAAAAAGTGAGACTGTTAGCAGCAGCAGTCAATCGATTAGACTAACAATGTCCATATTTCTTATTTTGTTCGAATTTGAGAATAAAAATAGAAACAATATTCACATCATATTATGAAATGATAGTTATGCTTTGATTAGATACTAACTCAGTGGAAAAAAAACGAAACATCATTTGTCTATCCTTATGATAGTTACTTTTTCTTCTTTTTTTTTTTTGTTTTGTGTTAACAAGCTGGTTATTCATGATATGATACTAGTAGTTTAGTTCATTTATTGATTATAATTGGCATACACAAACGGTAAAAGAAAAATGTCCTGCTGTTCAATAAACATGTCTAACATATGTTCAAAAAGAATGTTTATCAATTGTAATAACAGACGTTCAAGACTAATTAATAAAAAGATCAATAAAAAAATTGTTGCAAATTAATTTTATGATGATAGTTATTGTATCATCTATTAGAAAAGAAATAAAACTCGACCGTATGTTATGATAATTTTTTCTTTTTATAAGACTTGTATATATTTATTCTAAGAGAAAACGAATTCTGTTTTCATCTTTTGTTTAATTATTTTAACATAAAAAAACAACAACAACAACATGTCCAATTTCATCAGTTATCATAAATATTAAAATTATTCGAGTCAAAAAGTTAAATTAATATTTTTCAAAATTGAATAATTGTATACTGCATTTTTTTTTTTTTTTTTTGTTGAAAATCAACTATTAATTATGACTATATTCGTTACGGTTTGTCATTGTCTCCATCATCACAATAATCTGTGGATAATAAAGTCTCTCTTCCATTTATACTATGTCAAATTCTATTCGGGCAACTGTCATGTTCAATTAAAATATTCTTTTATGTTAAATTGACCATATCACTCACTCATCCACATGTTAGTGGGTTTATTCAATTGAAGAGTAAAAAAAAAAGAAAACGAAGAATTTTCAATGTTTTTGTTCATGTTAAGAGAGAAAAGTCAAAATGATGATCATCGTCTTTTTTAGAAGAGAATAAAAACAATAGAATAGATATTATAATATGTGTATAGATAAGGTCAAAATTGGATATTGAAAAATCATAAAACGATGATGATGATGATGATGATGATGATGATGACACACGATGATACATGAATGATAACGTTTAAACAAAATGTGTTGAACATATGATAGACGGTGATTTCAAACGTACTTTTAATAATTCTTCACATATTTTGATTTTTCTATTGATATTTGAGATCGAATGCGGTGACCATTCTATTCTTAACATTAATTAAAAACTGTTTTAACAAACTCCGAAGATATATGGTTTTTCGTATTCGAACTCGATCTTATTTAAAAATTTTGCATGTGTATGCCATCTTTGATTCAGTTTGTCCACTTCTACTATGAAATTATTCTATCATCAGAGAAATTCAATTTTGAATTGTCTGTCATCATCCTGCTGCTCACTAGTGGTTCAAATTTGAGACATTTAGATGAAATTAAACCGTTTGTACAAGTGAGTGAAAGTGTGATAGAAACGTGAAAACACAAGTTATCTATTCAAACTTTTTTGTTGCTTTGAGTTCGTGATTCGGATCACAAAAACTTTTATCTCGTTCTGTAAGCTGGAACCTGTAAGCAAACGAGTTTGTCCCGTTCTACTGGACAGATGGAGCGGAACTATATCCCATGGGACTCTTCTGTTCATCTCAATAAGATACCTCTTTTTTTCTTTTGGTATTCGAGGAAGACAACGACATGATATTAAATCAGTCTGCTGTTTGCTGTTCTTGTTCATGATAAAAGAAAAAATTTAATTGCACAACATCAAATGAAAAAGTTAATATTAAAATTTTACTTATGATTAAGGACGAATTATAATCTTGCATTATTGACTTAATGAATCTGAAGAATAAGAAAATCATAAACTACACGCATCCGAGATTTAGTGGATACTAGTCTATTTTTTTTTTTTTTTTATTATTGTTGAAAGAAAATCTAGCATCATTATTTAAATCTTATCTAAATATGTTTTATTCTTAAAAGATTTTTTCAGAAAGAATCAAAAATTATATTTTTATTTAAATTTGAATGTTTTAAAATGGAAGAGTATCTATATTTTTATATTAAAATATAATAGAAATAAAATAGATGTAGATATTAGATGACTCGAAGTTGAAATAATCTATATCTATCTGCTAGTCTACTATGGATAATATTTTATATCCAAAAGAATCTGACGATTGAATGGCTGTTTTCAACATTAATTATTGAAATATGTATACGAAGTAATATGAGAACAGATTCGAATATCATTTGTCATTAGAATCTTCTTTTTTGTTTTTTTCTCTTCGATATAGTTAATCTATGAACAGAGAGAAAAAAAGTATCGAAGAAAAATCATTTCTATTTATTAACATAAAAGATGTGAATGGAAGACAATAATCATCATAATATATCATGGAACATATTAATCGTTATAGTCGTCTAAAGACCAAATGTTGTTCATTTATTCAGAGGTAAGAAATCAATTATCGTTTAGTCTTCCAGTCTAGTCAAAAATGATGATGATGTAAATAGAAAAAAAAGGGAGAGAGAAAAGGATAACAAAAAGATATGAACTGAAAGTTTAAGTAATAAAAATCAGGTTTAAAGTATTCGGTTAGGTAAAAAAAAAGAAAAAGAAAAGACGTTATGGCTACGAATATGACCCATGTACAACATCAGTGAAGCAAGTTTTATAATATATTGTAGAAATAACAACATCAGAATGAAATTGGTAATAATAATAAATATCTGTAATTATTTTTCATGTTCAAAGACAATTATTGTCATATTCGATTACACTTTAAAGGAAAAGAATGAGAAGAAGAAAAAAAAAAATTGTACGGGTTTTGTTTGTTAAATAAATTTTTGTTTTCATTAAAAACTTGAAAGTATTTCATAATAGTAATAGAAACAAGAAAAAGTACTGTATAAATGTATATATTTTAATATATAAGAAACTCTCTTTTTTTTTTTTTTTCTTTTTGTTTTATTTCATTTTACTTTCAAGAGAGAGAAAAAATAAAAAAAAACGGATGAACTCGCTCTCTCGTTCTCAGGTATGTAAAAACCTTGCAACTTTTTTATTCTTTGACATTATTTAATTTTTCAAACATCCTACAATAAATTATTTGATTGTGTATGTATATGTATGTATGTGTCTGTACAAAAAATGATTATTATTATGAACGCGACTATTTGAAAATATTCATAAAAAATTCAATGTATTTGTAAATATGTATCAGAAATCATCATCAATTCTTATTGATGATTTTGATCAACAAAAACAACCAAAGGGTCCATTGTCAAATATAGTTAAAGATGATCTAGAATTACTAGATAAAATGATTGATAAAATTCAACAATGTACATTGTACGTAAGTATATTACTATTGTGTACAAATCATGACTATACATAGTTACCTCCACTTGCTTGTCAAAAGATTATTATCACCAACCCTTAAACAAAAAAACAAAAAAAAAAAAAAAAAAAAAATAATAATAATAATAATAATTAGATAGGTCGTCTACAACTTGTCAAGTCAAATTAAATCGGCAATATGTGAATGAATAACATTCATATAGATTTCTTCTTTTTTTTTGCACACTTTGTTTGGAGACTAATTTTATTTTTTGATTTTTCTTCTTTTATATGGTGAAACAAGAAAAAGTGACAATACACATATTGAACATATACTACTCCTACACTTTAATTTTTACTATTAGATATATAGAAGGTGGGAAACAAGTGATTAGCAAGATGTCTATCTATTGCATTTTTAAATTGCTATATATTAGTTACTATTTGTTTAACAATCAAAAGAGACGTTTGTTCAAGTAGGGAGATATAGTTAAATAATATTTAAAAACAAATTCAAAAAATGTTGTTCAATTTGTTATTTTTTTTTGCATTAATCTTTTTCAATAATGATCACTATCATGTCTAATAATGTTAGATATATGTTTACATATTTGAAATAGATAATGAACGTATATAAATAAATTATTATTATTTTATTTCACTATATCATTCTATGCGTAATAATTATAGTTATTATTTGAAAATAAATCACAGTTGACTATGTATTTTGTTCAATTCGTTGACATTCAGCAAATATTTTAATTTCAAAAGTCTTTTCATCTTTTTTTTTCTTCTTCTAAACATATCCTAATGAGCAGATATGAAGAAAACGAGAAAAAAAATGTATGTGTCACTGATGTGATATAAGAAATCTCTCTTTCTCTCGTTCTGTGTTATGTTCATAGAGTATGGATGAGAGAAGATTATAGAAGTGTGTATTTGTGACGCTGATTATCTATTTTAACACCATGCTGAGAAAAAAAATTACAATAATTTAACAACATGTTGAAAACTTGGCAAAAAAACAGTGTGAATATAGTGCATGTCACTTTCAAGAATAACAGTGTATTGTAGACGTCCATCTTTTATTCAAACACACTCTAGAAATCAATTAATCCATCTTTTTTTCTCTCTTCTTATCCTATAAGTCGAAATGGGAGCATCTTTCTTTAAGATGTTACATAAAAACAGTTACTCATCTTTGTATTCATACTTTAAAAATATTGTGAAATTTGCAGTATTTTGTTGTATTATTTGTGACTGAAAAGTAAGATGGTCCTAATATGGTTCTAATATCGTTAACTATCAGGATTCAAGGATCCAATTTTTAGGATCAGGACCACTTCGGACTATGAAAACATTTTTCTTCTTTTTGAAGATCCATTTCTATTGTGTAACGCAAAAATGTTTCATTCCAATTTTTATTAAACCTGAAAACAAACTGTTTTTTAATTAAATATTCAACAAAGCTTATCTATTCGATAAACAAAAAAAATCTATAAAAAGTTTTCCAATTCGGACCAATTCGGACCAACAGTTTTGGGATCGGGATCAGTTCGAACCATCAAACTTTTTAAAAACTAGCGCCAAGTCAGATCACATGGATTACTTGGTCTTGGACCAGATGATACGAAGCCCTGTTAACTATCCTCAAAGATGTTGAGTATTTGATTAAATAAGAAGATAAATGGATTGGCCATAATCGCACAAGGCGGGTTAATCCAAGGCAGAGCCCGATATCACAAAAATTTTCGTATTTGCAAATCGGAGCAAAAGATTTGGTGTAGCAGAGGGTGAATTATCTTTCCTAATGAGGTGCTTCTGTGTATAATGAAATGAATGACTTTGCACACAATTATTGTTTTTTTTTTGGTATTCTTAATCATACTCGTCCCTAAATAGACAAAGTGTTTTCACGTTTCTGTCACAGTTCCACTCACTTGTGAAACGGCTCAATTTCATCTAAATGTTTCAAGTTTGATATTGACTTATACATGTATCTATATGAAGAAAAGTTTTTTCTTCTTATATTGAGAAAGTTTGCGATAAATATTTGAACAAGAGGAAGAGAAAAGGAAGAGAGAAAATGATCGATTGTACATAGACAGAGATGTTCATAAACAGAAAAAAAGACTAATTAACTAAGGATCTATATCCGCATGTTTTGCTACTTCATTGAAGAAGAATTCTTTTATATTTCTCATTTGGACAGATGTACATCAATGAATGGTGGACAGCACAATCGTCTATCAACATCGACTACAACTGTCATCAATTCACCACTAACAACAAAAAACCCTCATGATTATTCAACAGACGTTGGAACAAGTCCACGAAAACGAGCACCTCCACCGCCACCTCCTAAACCACCAGTTACGAAGCCAGATTACGAATATTTATATAAAATCGATCCGAAGCAGCAACAACAACAACAACAACAAACAATAACAACTTTGCCTCTAACATTCGTTTCGTCTCTAAAACAGTTGTTTTCCATCTTAGATAAAACAAATACTGGTCGCGTGAACATCGATGTCTTTAAAAAATATTGGCCACCATTAACGTCAACAACGACGGATGATGATACGAGCGAAATTCCATTCGACTTATTAGAGCAACTTGAACAAGAATCGAAATTATATAATTATCAAATTACATTTGAACTTTTATTAGCCGTCATTGAAAAATCTTTACACACTCCGAAAACATCGACTAAATACACATCATCTTCGACATCATCACTCTCATCTCTGTCACCCACAACATCGGTCAGACAACAATCGTTGAATACGACTCAACCACAACCAGTCAAAAATAATAATGTAAGTTCAACTATGAAGCTGAAGCCATCGTTCTTCATTTACTTACCTTATAATTGTGGAAAATTAGAAGCATCTTTTCAGTATACTAAACAAAGAAGCGTCTCATGTTATTAGGAATAATCAAACTAATTTATTGTTCTCAATGGTTAATTATTCTCTTCTTTGATGTATTACACCTGAACAGATCTATCTAGTTTATCTTTGGGATCATAAGTGTTCCCATATACATGCATCATACATTGATATACTCTTATCTATTTTTCTTGTTGAAAATATAATTTATCATAGATTTCCTATCGTCCACCATCATTTTCATTCAATTCAACAGCGTCTGACATTAGCCAACGGCAACAGCAACATCAAAATCGTTATCGTCTAGAAACAGACACTGTACAACAACGGGATAAAGAAGAACAAGGATTAACACTACGTAAAATGAAGAATGATTTTTTGAATGATGAAGATGTGGAAGAAGAAGAAGAAGAAGAAAATGATAACAGTAATCATTCGAGTAATAATCAGACATTGTTTTCACCTCGTCTGATCAAAAATTTCAATTATAACCAAGTAGAAAAATCATCCTCAACTAAACAACAACAAGAACAACTGCAACAACAACATATTCATGTACCAAAGCCATTGAAAATAATTCGTAAAGATCCAAGTAGGAACAGGTTTTGCATGAATCCAAAATTTCATTTTATGATGAATCAATTTCATTTTCTTTGTCTTAGATTATTTTAACCAGCCATCTTATGTTTTAGATGTTTTATCCCATAATTTAACAATTCCAATACAAAATGGAAAACATAGTTTACAACATCATGCACCTCCCATCTCCTTTCAACGAAATCTAAAACAAAGTAATGGACTACCAACTACAAATCCTCAACAACAGCCTATAAAATTACCACGATCAACAAGCGTTACACAAGATCTTTCACGTGATAAAACTGTTGGTGATCAACAACAACCGAAAAAGAATTCGTTTCATGTCAATCCGGTGTATAGTAGTTATAATGAAAATATGGATCAGTCGATGAAAAATACAAGCACAAATGGAATCGGTTATTATGGATCATCGAATCAAGTTGAAATGAGACAGCGAAAAAAAGAGATTCTATCGCAACAAACACAAACAACACCATCGATGTTATCGAGTAAGAATAATAGAGCTTAGACTATAAAAATTGTCACATTTCATTCATTGTTACCGATACGCTATCTTGTAATGGGACAATACGTAAAAACCCTTGAAATCTATAATGTAGAGGATATTCTATCCATTTGCTTTTTTACAGAACACAATGGAAATTCTAACTTGTATACTGATGCTCCATCCGTGTTAAATCATCAAGTCAATGGTCACATTTCTTTACCTGTACGATCATTATCCGATAATAGACGAAATACAATCCACTGTCATGAAATTGATTTTTCCATGGTAAAACATACATTTTTTGCCTCAATTTTGTTTTTTTCTAAATAATTTAAATTAAAATTTAGATTCGCGCTATGAAACGTTTTGAAATTGAACGTGATTTATTATTACAAACATGTGATACAATGGAAAGAGTCAAATGTTTTTTAACAGAAAAATTGATTGAAATGAAAGAAAAACAACGTTATTATTGTCTCAAACTATCTACATCAGAGGTAACATTAAATATTTTGGTTTCATTCAGTTCTTACCATAATAAATAAAGTTTTAATTTCATATTTTAGAGTACTGGCATTGCACCTGAACCTGTTTACAATCGAGATTTAGTAGCCGATTTACTGAAATTAGCCAGCACTGTTTTAAATGAGGCACAATATGACACAAAGGTAAGCCAACAGAATTCAATCACATCTAATCATCTTTATTCATACTCTTTTTTTTCTATATGATTTTTTTTTCAAAGAAATCCGATCGTTCATCGAGCTCTCTATCATCATCCTCGTTTGCTGGTAGTCCACAAGTGACTAGTAATGGTACAATAAATTATTCTCAATCAAATCATCAGCAACACTCACAAAAGTCAACATTATCCAATTCTGATTATACGGTAAGATTATATACATACCGATTATGAGAAAATGATCTGTTATTTGAAAATTATTTTCTATATACATTTCATTTCTTTGTTCAAGAATGTTGTTAAATTAAAAAATGATCGAATTAATCAACTAGAAAATGAAAAACGAATTTTAATTCAAGAACTATTTGAATTACGAAATAAAATGACTAAAACAAAATAATAATATAACTACAATTTCGTTGCTCAACGATACAGATCTATAGTGGGTGCTAATTGATTTTTTTGTTTTCTTTTTAAATAATTTATAATGGTTGTAAATAATTGATATTTGTCTTTCGACGAGTGCTGTGTTTTATTCTCTGTTTTGTTGTTGTTTCTTGTCTATTCAAATAATCATTGTTTTTTCCATAATATTATATTTATTTGAAGAAGAAAGAGATCAACTGGCTACTGGTTAATCTATCAGATTATACATGAAGTTAATTAGACGATGCTATTGCCTTTGATTCTAGAATATTATTGTCATTACATTTCCTCTGACTTTAATAGATGATACTACAGTGTATATTTTGCAATTATTTGTTATCAAGACATGAAGAATTTGAAGTCATAGGGATCGTGTTGATCACGTTTCTTATAGCCACACACATATTACTTGACTCGACTGATATGTGCAGTTGAAGAAAAAGAAAATTTTAAGATCTATTCATAAATTGAACGGTAGTTTGACAGATACCAGAAAACGTCATCCATCAGTTAGTATAAACATGCACAGTTCATGAAAATGTGATATGCACAATTTTATCCTAATAATAAATTATTTGTACTGTTAAATTTTACAAAGACATCGTCAGATAACAGTAAAGATTAAGTAATTGTTCTATAAAAAATATTTTATGACACAAAGTATGGAAATTCTGATTTTAATGTTAGCAGAATCAACTAAACAGGAGTCCTACACTCATCTTGCCCAAATTGTAGACGATATTCTGTTATAACTTTCGAATGTTGTTCAAGATATAAATTAAAACGAATAGAAAAGATGGATTTCGGGTTTCTTTGCATTATAAAGATTTGTGTAAGAAAAATATTTTAATTAGATCTTATGCAATAATGAAAATAGAAGTTAAAATCGAATACTGTTTCTCTCTATTGAGATCAAACTGTTATTTTTATTAATGTTCAATAACAAAAATCTTTTATGTTGATTCAACTTTTTTGTCTTCATTTTCATCAATTGATTGTTCATCATGTAAATCTTTTAAAATTGATGTTTGACTTATCATTGACGGTCTCACAGTAGCATCTTCCATTGTTTCTTTTAAATTATGTAAACGATTATTTAATTCATCAATACATGAAATAAAACTTGATTGAGGACGAACTTCACGTCGTTCCATTACATATTGAAGAGCTTCCTTTAAATAAATAAGAAAACAAATTAATATATTATTTTTTGAAGAGTAATAAAATAGTTTAAGACAACGTATACTGTTTAGAATAGTACAATAAACTATACATTCAAACTATGTTATTAACATAATTTTTTCATAGTTTTATTCTATTATTTAAAGAAAAAGTTTAATAATATCATCATGCTATATTAAAAGATAAATATAATGATATTCTTACTGTGGATGTCATTCTCATTCTAAATGAAATGAAGGCTGTAACAACTGCAGCTGCTCGACTAATACCTCGATCAGAATAAACCAGTACAGGATCTCCTCGATCATATGCAACCGCTAAACAAAAATATATTTTAATATAGATTCGTTAATGAAATAAATATTCTACAAACCAATAAACATCACAGCATCATGAACTATTTGTGAAACAGGTGCATCATACTTATCATCAACAGACATTCGAAAATATTTCAATGCATCAGCTCCTTGTACTCTGAAATAGAAAATATAGAATAGAATAATAGTTTTATAAAATATTAAAAGTATATTGATCGCTTCTTTTTTTTTAATTTCTTTACTCACAAATAATCATCATATTTTGTGCAATTTACATATGCTCGTATTTTTAAATCTTTAACAATTGTACTATTGATGGCATGAGCTCGTCTTCCAAGATAAACAAGTTGTGGACAAATTTCATTTGGATAAGTAATAATTTGTTCACGTTCCTAAATAAGAGATAAAATATAAAATTAGATCGGTCTCTGAAACAGTACACAATACAGAACCTTTGGTGTATACATAATTTTTTGTGTCCGTAAAAATGGATATAATCGTGAAAAGAGTTCATAACCACCTTGGACGATGTTTAACGTTGACATACCACCCGAATGCCATAATAACTCAGCACATTCATTTGCATCAGCTAAATATCCAGAATAAAAACAATTTTAACTAAACTTTTAAAGATTTATCACACCATTAAAAATACATATTGTAAGACACATATCAATTCAGTTGAGAATTTTAAAAGCATGTTTAGCCCACACTGATCACAGATTCGGAATCTTCATAGTCAATTACCTTGTACGCAACAAGTTTGAATCGGAGTACTTCATTTAAAATTTTTCCCATTATTTTACAAAAGAATTTCTTGCGAAGTGCCTGAGAAATTTTTCTAGAGTACCCCGATTCAAAACTTGTTGCGTACAAGGTAATCGACTATGGAGACTGGCAGAACATGCTTTTAAAATTTCTCGACTGAATTATATGATAGACTAAGAAGACTCTGAATCTTCCAAAATTTTCTTGAGATATTTAGTAGCGATGTTACACGAAGTTTCAAGTTTCTTGTCAAAATCGCGGCAGGATGAGCCTGTATTCTTGCCGAGAAACGAAGTGCGCAAATGCTACTAGGAAAGGTGAATCATACTCTCTTCGTTTTTTTTCAAAGTTATAGTGAAGTGAAAACTGATCGTACAAAAAATATCGCACTAATCACGTACATTTTTCGTCTAATGATTGTGTTCTACTGTCATAAATGACTACATGTTCTCGTGTTTCAAGTTCAGATTTCCACGGTGTTTGATATTTATTATCCACGCCCGAAAACACATTGAAAAGAAAGAACATTGCTAACAAACTATGTGATAGCGAGAGGTATTTAATAACTTACCCTTTTTAGATGATGTGCAGTTATAACATGACTTTCTTCATAATCTTTACGTGGACGGCAATCTGTGAAAGAAAATAGCAGTAAGAATATAAAGGCATATGAGAACGACCACTATTTGTCTTCGAACTGAGAGATCACGACATTCGTTTTGAGTCCGCCCAAAACCGTTTTCGATCAATAAAATGTAATAGTGAAAAATTGTATGGAAAGTTTTCGAAAGCTCTAACGTGCAAACGTGCAAAAACAGCTTTTTCGCTTCTATTCGTTTTACGTTGGACAGAAAAAAACCTCATAAGCCATTTTGTAGCCCTCGGAAATTTCTGCCTCTTAGCCATGGTGAAAATTTTTTTGTATTAGTCCGCAAGAGACATTTTCTTTTCTCTAAGTTTCGAAAAAAACAATATTTTCGTTAATCAGTTTAAGGTCTTCGTTAGAAATCGTATAATTCGGCAAATTCAACATTTTAATCTGGACTTTTTTATTTTGAACAGAAATGGTTAGTCTATTATACCCAAACACTGGAAGTAGAATAAAAACTTGTGTTGGCGTGGACAGGGACAATGACAAAACGCACTGTTTTTGACCGAGATTCCAATAGTCACTTTTAGTGTCAAATCGTTTGGTTTAAGGGTAGGTTAAACGCTGTATAAAATGCTCAGTTTTAGGACTTCTAGGAAAATGTCTGGTACTTTTTGATGCAAGGCCATACAGAGTTGCGTAAGGTCTTATTTTGATCAGAAACGTGTGCTCTACAAATCTGTGTGTTCAGAAAAATTTTAATTGCAGAAGTATCCAGGAAAAAACTATTATTTGAAGTCCCCGTTTTTCGAGGCTCTTAGAAAACTTGCTCAGAACTCCCGAAAAAGCAGTTTTGTAACCAAAAGCAATACAGATTCTGGAAGTAGACACTTCAGGCTATCGTTCCATGTACTTATCACAAAACCGATTTTTTGACCGAAGATCACCATTTCTGAGGGGGGCCCCGTAAACAAATTTTAATAACAACAAAAAGCGCGCTTGAAACTACAGAAAAAGTTACTTTGACGATGTCACAATAATTGGAAGAATTCAAACTCTTATTAGAATAAAGGATCCTGCCGGATTTAAAAATTTTAAGAAACATATGGTTCAAACGAAATATATGGTTTTGTAGAGAATTTTTCGTATCTTTCTTATTTTTATTTAATTCTTGTTACTTAACGAAATATAAATACATTTTTCTCGATGTTAGCAAAAATAAATATACATTCAAAATAGTGGATTAAGCCTTTTCAAGCCCGATCGTATGGTATATATTTTCTTCTATCATACCATCAGCGATGAGTGGAAGTTAACATACATCGTAGGACATTTTTGCAAAAAAGCAGATTTTCACAACTTCGAAATGCATGGACACGTACGAAACATTCATAAACATATATATATATGAATGCAAACACAGGCTCTGCTCTGTATCGCCTAAAATTTTGTAACTCATTTGTTGGTATTGATTTAGTATATACATGTGATAGTACAATTTAAAATTCACTAGTTGAAGTCGAAATTTAGTATGCACCAGTGTGAATTAAAAACCTATGCTTTAACTAATGTTTAGGCATCTTTATCTCAATTCCTCATAGTGTAGACTAAAATTTCAACTTCCACTAGTAAAATTCTAAATTTCACTGAATGGAAAGATCTACTAACATGTGTTTATGCTATGTATAAGTACCTAATGGAACTTCTTGAATTTTTTTCAATAAGGTCTTAACTCAAAATCTAGATAACCTTGAATTTATTGATCGTACATCTGATAACTTCTTTCATAAGTCAGATATCAGAGTCCGAAACAAATCGAATTGAATCGAATTTGATTTCAGAAATGTTATCCCGAATCGAATCGAATCAGGTTTTCCTGATTTATTTCGAGCTCTGTCAGATATACAAGAAGTTTTATTACGAATGCACTTATGGCATACCAAAAGTAACAAGATTTGCAGGTAAAATCCCACAGACTAAAGATAATTAAGTTTTCACTTCAGCAAGTATTTGAGCTAATAGATCTGACTATCCACGCACAATAAATTTGTTTCAAAACATTTGCTGAAAGTTTTTTTCGAATCATCTTTGATTGAAAAACTGAGTATTTTGGTTACAGCACTGCATACAACGATTAAGAACTATTTTGATCGGTTAATTTTCTTGGATACGGCCGACTAAAGAAATATAGCGAATACATAAAGTGGTAGTAGGTCATAACATCTAGATTTGACACACATAAACGTGTCAAACTACAACTTTAGTTCTTTGAATTAGAAGGATTGTAAGAGAGGAATCTCTCTCGACTACAGTTTGATGCAACAAGTTAGTCTTCCAACAATGTTTCATACCTTTTCTCAAACTAACTAGCCAAATACTCTTAAAAAATAGAGAGATACGGAAGGAGAGCAAATTTCTAATCACCAATATTACATCAAAAATTCCCTAAAACTACTTATCAAGTGAGCCATTGAGACACTTTTTGAAGAAATGTGTCATTTTTTTGAATTTATTATTTTTTTTCATAGAAAAATCAATTTAAAAATTTTTTTGATATTAAAAATGTTACACGTTAAAAATTGATTTATTATTCTTTTTACTCAAAAAATTCATTTAGATCGATTTTTTCTTTTGAAGAAAACCTATTTAAATTAATCTATTTAGAATTCTTTTAGAAAAATGTGTTTAAATTAATTTTTAAAAAGATTCATTTAAATTCATTCTGCGTACGGTTTCGTGCGAGAAATCTATTTAAATTCATTTCTTTCTCAATGAATCTGATTTTGGTTCTTATAAAAGGTTAATTTGAATTTCTTTTTTCTCCAAATAAAAGATAAAATACACTTAAATAGATTGTCTCAAAAACTAAAACCAGAATTATTGAGATGGAAATAAATTTAAATAGATTTTTCACACAAAAAGTTATGAAGAATGAATTTAAATGAATCTTTTTAAAAATTAATTTAAACAGATTTTTAAAAAAGTGAATTTAGAAAGGTTTTTTTCAAAAAAAAATCGATTTAAATTGATTTTTCCATGAAAAAAAATAAAAATAAATCAAAAGAAATGGCACATTTCTTCAAAAAGTGCCGCAATGGGGAGTGAAACAGCAAAGATCATCAAATAGTGTTTCGAACATCAAAAGTCACAGTATTCTACAGGTCCAATATTATGTGATTTTTTCAGGTGTTCTATCTAATTCATAAGCTTAATAAATCAAACGATCTTTAATCACTTGATGCATTGAGTGCTGTGATAAAATTGCTGAATTTTTCAATCAAAGATGATTCGAAAAAAACGTTCAGCAAATGTTTTGAAACAAATTTATTGTGCGTGGGTAATCATATCTACTAGCTCAAATACTTGCTGAAGTGAAAACTTGATTACCTCTAGTCTGTGGGATTTTACCTGAAAATCTTGTTACTTTTGGTATACCCTAAGTATATATGTATATATGCCTATTTATCACATGAATACATATATGATTTGTATTCTTACTTAGGGACAATATACCTGGAGGATAAAGGATGTATCCGAATAATAACATCTGTGAAAATAGCAAAAGAATATAATTTTTGCATTTGCATTAGCCAAAAGGAACATATGTCACACGTTATTTCATCAAGGAAAATTAAAGTTTTCTAAGAAGAGTCAGATGTATTTGATCTCACCTACCAATTAAATAGAGATAATTTGGATCACTTAATCGTGGTAAAAAATTTTCAGCATTCAATAAATTAAAAAGTTGACCACATTCTAATAATTGAGTAGGTGGTGGAAACATTTTTGGATCTAAAATATATAACGATTTTTTAATCCCGACTTCTATTTGACATTTGTATTCATAACCAACATTGTTTCTATAGTTACATCACCACGATACAGACAGTTTGTTTTTGATTTATTTAGTAATAATAATAGACGCAAGTTTGAGATGAAAAGAATTTATAATATGTAATACTTAAAAATATTCTATTAAACAATTTTGTTGATCTCGTTCGTTACAGATCTTCGTTACAGATCAAACAAAAGTCATGTTCGCTCGTCATTGTATCTTATCTCGACCAATAAGCGATCATATTAATTTACCGTTATACATTATCTCAACCTTTCAAAGGTTGGCATTATTAATCAAAACCGTGACAATGAAAATCCCGTAGCTTTTTGTAGTGATCATCACAGCAGCCTTTTTGTAACGTAACTTATAGAATTTAGCTCTGCATATTCCTAACTGTTATTAATTCTATAGGTAGATACTTTCATCAAGCAGCAGTTTGGATAGGCAAAGCTTAAGATTTATCAAAACTATGAAAAACAATCTATCAAACAAATTCGACTGTTATGTGTTTTAATATTTTTAAAATTATGTAAATTCAGAAATGTTATTCCGATAAATCTTTGGTTTAAAACGTCAAATAGTAGAATTAATAACTGTCGCGAATATAAACGTTGTCAACTAATTCTTTTAAAGAACGAAATTGATATTAAAACAAAACAATGTAAAATAGCCTCAAAATTAGTGTGTTATGCTTAACAGCAGTTAAACTGCTTCTTTTCACCATCACGTCATCAGCCGTACAGCCTATAGAAAAGAAATTCTAGTACCAGCGTAAAGAATTTTCTACAAATATGTATTCTAGTAAATATACATTGTTTTTTATATATAATCTACTGTATCACAGTTTACTCTTGATAATGAATCGTTTGACTCAAAAGCTCAAGTTTAACCAAATAAAATTATGAGTAAAGCTGTAAATGATAAACAAAATAAGATACAACATTGGAGGAATAGACGACTATCTACAGTTAGATGTATCAACGAAACTCTTTCATAATAAAGCTTACTGGTCATATCACTACCAGTGACTTATGTGAACCGAATATTCATACATAGATAGATCTGAAAGGGAAATATCCTATGAACAGAGGGATTTTTCAAATTACTCTGCTTGCAATCTTAAATTAAGGAAAGAACTACTGAAGCTGCCCTCACTGAAGCTTCAAAACAGTCACAAACCGTCCATTTTTCTCTTCTGATCTTACTGTTGCTGTTATTTTTTCAAGATCTGTATATAAACGCTCCTACATACGTTAAGCCACTATGATTGTACCAACCAGATTACGTAGTGAAGCACGTGCCAAAGGTAAAGATGATTTTAAACGTGTTATTAATTCATACGCCCTTCAACATGTTCGTCGTTGGGAAAAACGTTGGATAACAATCAACGATACATCGATTCGTGTTTACAAATGGATGCCATGTGCTGTCTTGGATAAAGATCTTGTTGCAACACGAACAAAACCGTTTAAAAATTCAAAATTATCATCAACGTCACCAACAGGTACCTCTTCACAAGTGTTACCGACTTCAGAAACGAATGATACTCAAAATTCGTTGATACAAGATACCCAAATCATACCATCATCTCAAGAACAGGAATCGACACAAATGTTAATAAATGATAGTCAAATGACAGTGGGTGGTTCACAATTTCAAGATGAAAATACAATTGATAGCTTGTATAGTAATCAAGATTCGAATCAAGAAGAATGGACGACAACTGGGACAACAAATAATCATCATATCACACAAGAATCAAATGATACAACACCAAGTCAATGAATTAAATGAACTTATTTTTCAGTCCATATCAGCGCATCTATAAAAAGACATCAAGAGTAACCAAAAGATGAGATACAGTCTGGTAATATTGTATACGTGATATTTATCTCGCGCTCAAAAGCCGGCGAAAATTTTATTTTTTTTCCCCATTTTATCTCGTATTTGGTTCATCTTAGACTAAGCTGTGTTTTCTATGGTAAAAGAAATTTTTTCCTCGTTTTGGTCATACATATGGCCAGATGTTCTCTTCTCCTTTAGGTGTCATACTGATCTCTTATAGAACATTATTGTTTATTTTAAGCACATCTGTTTGCTGTTTCTTTTTTTGTCTCTGATATAGTGACTTGACTGTATTGGTTAATTTGTCATGTGTTTCCACGTGATAAATTCTTTTCTCTGTTTTTGATTTATGAATATTTTCTTGTCAAGATAAATAGCAAAAATATTTTTGTCAATGTATATACTTTAGCACAATTTTTTTTTCTTCTCACTCATATTTTGTTTCGACAAAATAATTCTGATTATATATGCGAAATTTTTGTTGTTATTGTGTGTGTGTATGCTGTTTCTATGTAGTCGAAAAGAGAAATAATTATATTAACTGAGAATTATTCAAATATTTTTTATCAAATTGTTGTGGTTGTGTATAGTTGGATCGGGATTTCGGCTTAGATCTTGTGTGCATAGACAAAATTCACACTTCTACTTAAATGTGTGATAATGAATGCAAAGCGTAGAAAGACAACGATACGATTGAGTTCAAAACGAAAATAATAAAAATTTCTATGAGAAATATCGCACACGTGTCATCTGGTGTGATTAATACAAAATCAACTATCTTCATCTTCAGAAAGGAAGAGAGTAGTAAAAATTAAAAAATTTTTTCAAATTCTTCGTCTGAGAAAGTTTTTTTTAATAAAATATTGTTTTTCTTTGGAAATTAATAGACTACTTTAAGTTATTATTTTTAAATAATTGCTGTGTTCAGCTGATCCATCCATAATGTGATCGTAAATGGATAGACAGTAGGAGACAAAGATACATATAATTTAGAAATGAATGTTAATATTACTAATTCATAATTTTAGTATTTGTACATACTCTGAATATTGGACGTCTAGAATCACTTTAATAACGTGTACAGTCATAATTTTCTAACAAACATCTAACACATCTTCAAAAAGCGTCTTCAAACATCGAATGTCTGAAGCAAAAAAAAGATGAATGTCGCATTGTTCAGGTCTAAACAAGATGAAGTCGTATGTCTACGTACCATTTGAAATTAATGATAACAAAGAAAAGTCGAAAATGCTTCGGACCTACGCAGTGGCGATGCGACAGGAGTGAATAGTCTTCCCCTTGAAATCTTGACTTTGAAAATTCTAACGTAAATTCTCTATTCTTGTTTTGTTCTATGTCCCTAATAGCGACCTACACAAGTGCGATTTTCAAACGCGTACCCAACAAATACTTTTAGATTTTCTCTATTTGTTTTAGATACTCCTTCCTGCTCTACGGTTGTTACGCTGCCACTGGACCCACATACCCTGATTGCTAAATTATTGAATAAAACCAAAAAAATTAAACCGAGAATCACGGTTCTCGAACCGAAACCACGATTCCGGTTCTCGACTTAGAACCGAAATGAAAGAAACCGCCTGAAGCTTAGAATCGAAAAATAATTTTTCAAGCAGTAACAATTCAACAAACAATTCAAAAATGGAATTCATTTTATAGTAAACGGAAGGATTCTTTTAACTCTTTCCAGCCTGATGTTGCCATTTGGCAACGCTTTTTGCTGTGTTTTCGAAACAGCCGGCTGGAAAGGGTTAAATGATGGCAAGCAAATATATCTTTTTGTAGCTGTGTCAATAGTGTCTTCATTTTGTTAAAAGAAAGGCAAATCAAAAAGTCTCGGTTCCGGAAAAAAGAAACTATCTAAGAAGCCACGGTTTCGATTCGCGATGAAGAACCGGAAATAAGAGAACTGCGATTCCGATTCATCACGAGAACCGAACATCCCTAGGCAACACTGATTTTTTATCGTACTAGAATAAGCTGAGATTTCCAAGAATTATTGTCGTAATAATAAAAGCTATTTTCTTTAGTAATTTCATGTTTAGCTTGTGATGTGTGTGTATGTATTGATAGAAATTACACTTTACTATTCACATGTAGTAGGACATGACGATGAATGTACCCGAAGAAAACCATAAGATTGAACTGAGCTCAGCAATAAAAAAGTAAAACAATTCCCCACGTCTTGCAAATACTAAATGTATTTTTGCGTGAAAATGTAGGGCAACTACTATTAAAAAAAAACATCTAAAACTACATGCCTTTTATAAGTAAAAAAAGAATGCTAAATCGAAATGAGTCATTTATTTAGCACTTTGTTTGTTTCACGCGCGATTTAATGTTGAAAGATAGATGGTGCTTTATAGACAAACAAAGTTAGTTTGTAATAAATGTATAAATATTCACATATTATTTTTGTACATGCCTTTCGTACAAAGCGCGATATTTTCCACTGTCATTGCGTAGGTTTGACCAAATATCTTAATGAATAATGGGTAAAATGTGGAGTACTGGAATATAGAGAAGAAAAATATTAAATTATTATCCGAAAATCATGTGATATCAAATGTGTTTTTTTAGTAAGATATCAGTTTAAATATATATGATATATCAAGCAAATTGGGAATCGTTTTTTTCGAGTTAGTCAACAGTATAATGTAACTTTATAATGTAACAGTATAATGTGACTTTGAATGTATATATATAGTTTTTTCTGTTTTATCCAGTGATTTTTATAAGAATTGAATTCAGAGTATAATTTTCTTTTGTGAACTTCATAGAAAAATAAGTGAATTTATCACTTATTTTTTTCGGACAGTTTTGAGAAATAGTGCTAGTCGTAGGACGTCTCAGAGTTAAGCATCACAAATTGAGTGGATTCTGTTTAATTGACTTTTATCTTGAATAAAATGAAAAAAGGTTAGTACCTTTATCTTGTATGAATATAAAATAGAAGACCTCTAATAAATTATAATCAGCAAAGAAACGAACAACGGACAGTTTATGATAGTTCTTTACGTAAGATAAAGAGAGAAATTTATTTACATCTCATATTATTAATTTGCATCTTTTGCGTTTTTCTAAAATGTAAAATTAAACAAAATAAAAGAAGAGAAGTTTTAATTCGAATGATGCAGCCAATCTAGTACGGTTCATTATCTGTAGCTATACTTATTTATAGTTCTTATTGAAAAATGTGTAATGTAGTTTTTTCATACAGATAAGGTAAAACAACTGCGATTGTCTTGCTCCCATGCGCTAATCATACTCAGACTATTTAGTCAGAAAGTAAAGTTTTGTTTTCTTAGAGTGGAGTAGTACGTTTTTTTTCAAGATAGAACATCTGCTTTGCTTCCATATGTTCCATTAATTATTGGAGATGCTGTATGTATTAAAAAGACTCATACGACTGTGTAATATAAACCAACTTGGCATTTGATCATTCTTAGTATCTCACTAGAAATCCATGTAATAGACTTTTACCAAACTACACTTTCTAAAAATGTAATTTATGCGTTTTTGTTTTGTATTCTTATATTTCTTTTTTTAAAGATCAATCTCGAATCAAATTTGTTGATTCTCTTATGATAAATAAGAAAAAAACAATCTCATGGAAGCCAACACATCCAGTACACCTGCTGATATTGATCATTTATGTCATTTAATTGATGAAAGTTCATTTGGACGTTTAATGTAAGTGGATTTTTTCTTCTCTTTTGTCATAATCTGTTATACTTAGTTTTTATTTTAGAGTCACTGATGAGAATGCTACTTCTTCATCTCGTTTACAAAAATTCCGACATGTCCCAAATAGTCAAGTGAAAGCATTTCGTTGTCGATTAAAACGTTTAAATTCACAGTTACCCTTTCATTTTGGATCTGTAGCACCAGCAATGACAGTCTCCACACTAACTAATCCTATAAAAAAATCGTCGACATTAGCAACAACAACAACAAAAGATGCAAATAATAACAATGTTTCTGCTTCTTCGACTACTGCTCTCGTTCCATATATGACGATACCGTCACAGAAGCTATACGGAGAACAAATCGTTCATCATTTACCCGGATTTCAACGTTCATTTCGTTCATCACTTTTACAACGTTTTCGTTCATTATCAACTTCTTCGGTATCGACAATTTCTCGTAATTCAATAGTACCGTGGCATAAACGATCGACACTATTCCCTTCATTACAACGTTTTCAACGAAAACCATTAACAATCTATAGAACGAAATCAAATTATTTACCACAAATACTTGAAGATGATGAACTTTCTTTGACACTTAGTCTGCCAAAGACGTCTATTGCTGAACAAACACATGAAATATCACCAACGTTATTAACATTATTAAAAAATCAGTCAACGATAAATTCACATTCACTTAGTAAGTGAGAAACTGGCATATTCTTCTAGCTTAAACGGTATAGAGTGCAAGAGGACTGTTTTATCTTTAAAAAATCTATTATTTAGCATACGTTCCAAGGTATTGGCTTATGTTAGTGTGCTCTATTGTCTTTTGTCGAAATTTTGAAAGGATAATTCTGTATTTCAGGTTTACAAAGTCAACATTCTTTAAATTCTTGTACAATTAGTGATCAGCGATTAAAACCACGTTCATGTTTGACAAGTACAGAAACCATAACAGATTTTCTTATCGATGATTTCTCTACACCAACATCAATGACGTCGACACCTGTAGCATGTAATGTCGAAGAATTAGCTGCTTATTTAGAAAATTATCTTTATTTACCAAAAAATTTATCGGGAGCTGCGGAACTCATGTACACATAACTCGTGACGACGATATTAAGCAAATTTTCAGGGATATTTTTTTCTTCTTGTTGGTGTGTGCGAATGTAAACTTGTAAAAAATAAGATGATAGTTTGTTTATTTCTTTGTTTGTCTATGTTAAATTGAATAAGGAGGAGTTAAGAGCATGAAGAAGCGATTAAAATAGATTCGGACAAAAGAATACGATCAAGATGGCAGTCAGATGATTCGAATCCGATTGTAATACACTTGAATATCATGCTCTAGATTTAAATAAAATTTCGGCTTTCATCTCTCTCTTTCTCTCTTTCCCTTTCTCTTTTACATATACAATTTTTCCTCATCTCTTCGGGTACAGTCTATAATTTGACTGACTCTTTTTTATTGAGAATTTTACTGTGTTTTTTTTTTTTGAATATTTAACTTAACGTTCAACATATCTACAAACGACGAGAGAGATAATGTGTCTGTATAGAATTTTGAAACGATAATATTTATCCAGCAAAACACGGCTTCGTTTTTTCGAACAGTGTCGCTGAATATCGTGTTTGTTGTGTACAGTATACGTTGCTTTTTTTTTCTTTACTGCTATCATTACATTATTGTTATTTTTTCTTCTCAAGCAGATTTTGTTTTCTTATCTTCTTGTTTTTTTGTGTTTGCTGTTGTTGTTCTTCTTCTATGCGAGAGAAAAGGTTCAGTCCAAATAAACAAGAGGAAAAGAATAAAAAATGGTTCACTAAAGCAGAATGTTTAGTGAATTTAAAGAAATGAATTATTTATTTCGTTCTAAAAATTGGAGACTGTTTATTTTTCTAGCAAAATGGCAATAGCTAGATAAGTTAAAGTGGTAGCTAAAAATTTAAAGGCCAAAGTTATGATATTATTTCATAAGAAACTCCATTTTTGTATTCCATGCTGTGTCATTGTATGTAAATATCGGGGAGAAGAAAGATTGTCAGAGGGAAGATTCTTATTAAAAAAGTAGCGGATGAACAACTCGTCATACGCACACGGAATTAGACAACACTCTCAAATCAAAATCTGATTGTTTATTTTCGATATTTGAGTGATTCTGGTGATTTTTGTACCGTTCGACTTAAGCTAATGGAAATGCATGATTCTCCGTTAATACTAAATCGAGCTTTCAGAAGCTTATGCCGTTTTATTCCGGACATTTTACTCTATATATAT